CGTAACAGGTGGTCAAACCATTTTATCCTCTGTCTTTCTATGTAACGCAGGCAGGACTCAATGCCAATAGCTGCTCTTACTTCTTCATTTCTCTGCCTGTCTCTTCTTGTGATGTTAAGGGTTTTGCGGAGACATTTCATTTCGCATGCGGTGATTTTGCTTTCATGGGTTTTGCTTAAAGTCAGGTCTGGCACTGATAACATAATGTTGGTATGAATATTGAGGTGATAAGCTGTCTCTTTGTGTCCATGGAGATGTTTGGATGAGATAGAAGGGGTGTGAGCTGGTAGGTGACAGCGTTGGCTTTTTGAGTTCGCATTTCCATTTCTCTGTCTATGGACCCGTTTTCAGAAAAAGTGCTGCCAAGATATTTAAACTCTTTCACCTGTTTGAGTTGTTTACTATTGACATGGATGTTCAGGGGACTATGGTTTCGGCTCACTTTCATAACTTCTGTTTTTGATGTGCTTATTTTCATGTTGAATTTCTCACAGGTGTTGTTGAGTTCGGTAGTATGATTTTGGAGGCTTTGTTGGTCATGATGAATTAGACATTGGTCGTCTGCGAACAGAAATTCATTTAGGCTTTCTGGGCTTTGATTTGCTTCTTGCGTTATTGTGTCCATATATATTATAAACAGGAGGGGAGATTGAACGCATCCCTGTCGTACTATGATCTTACTTTGAACAAGTCTGTATTTCCTTCCTTCGTTCTTACTGAGCTTCTGCTGTTGGTATATAGAGCTCTGACATTATTTAACAATTGTCCTCTGACGCCATACTTTTCGAGTGTCTTCCAGAGTTTGCATGGTTTACTCTGTCAAAAGCCTTCTCTTGGTGTATTATTATTATTATTATTATTATTATTATTATTATTATTATTATTATTATTATTATTATTATCATTATTATTATTATTATTATTATTATTATTATTATTATTATTATTATTATTATTATTATTATTATTATTATTATTATTATTATTGTTATCATGGTTATGATTATCATATAATTTATGATTATCATACGATTTATGATTATTATTGAAATTATTTATAATTACTATTTATCATTATGATGATTATTGAAAAGTATGGCCAAATTGCCCCACAAACTCAGTGATCTGGCACTGTACGCTGGCCCTAGACAAGAGTCCATACGGAAAGTGGGCATGAGAAAACAGTCCTTCTCCCTAGCTCCTAGACAAATAAAACATACTAAAAGTAAAAGTCGAGAAATCAGTTGGATTCTATAAGCCTGTACCGTTACTTTTAGTTTCGTGTTACCTTGCAAGTTTCTATATTGTTATTTTTTTTTTACAAAGAGAATGCTGACTAGACAAATAGATCCATGCATTACATTCAAAATATAATAACGTAGTTTCCATTGTGGTCTCGAAATGGCGAGCTTTCGAATTTGTGGAATATTACTTTTGTTAGGAGCAGCCCAGTTCTGCCAATCTATTGTCTTCGACGGAATTTTACCTCTCGGTGATGATGGCGTGAGTAACAGGAACTGTGTTGTGGGTTGTATTCTATTAAAAGTAATATAACCCATTCCCTCATTCCCTCCTTTTCTTATTGACCCCCTCCCACCTCCACCCCATCAACGCCAGTTTTGTTGTCACAAATGTGATGTAGGAATTGCTGTTGGTAGCGTACATTTTAATATTTAAAACAACCTACTGCTATTGCTATTGTGGTTGTTGCTGCTGCTGCTGCTGCTGCTGCTGCTGCTGCTGCTGCTGCTGCTGCTGCTGCTGCTGCTGCTGCTGCTGCTGCTGCTACTACTACTACTACTACTACTACTACTACTACTACTACTACTACTGCTACTACTACTACTACTACTACTACTACTGCTACTACTACTACAGAAAAACCTGCCTTATAGGGGTTGCTCGTTGGAGGATCAGTTCGGTTCGGTTTCTGGCGGCTTCGGTGCAGACTTTAGGGGTCACCTGACCACCATACCGTGACACCCTTACGTTTTCCTTATACTTTAAACCTGTCCATTTCGGTCCCTGTCAAACGGGGCCACGATCAGTCATTTTAACGATAAGTCAGCACCAAAAATACCCATAACGGTCACTTACTACAAAAGTTTTCCGCCAACCTGTCCCCCCAATGAAAATAAGTTCTCGTGATACCGGTAGGCCTATGGAATAATTTTGGTGGAAATGAAAAGGAAAGATTTGAAATTAAGATTTCAGATTTTAAAACCCTCTGTTGATTTATCAAATGTAGTTAGTGACTTTAAGTCAGACATTGTCGATAGCGACCACTTGTCTATTGCATGTCCATATAATATGTTACTATTATACATAATATCAATCCCACAGCACTTACACGATATCATCAGTAGACGTGAAAACGGGGCCACAAACTCAGAGGAAAACCAGGAAGTGACGACACAGTCATGGCTGACAATCCTGGAGATCCGTCGAGAGTTTGATTCTGGTCGAGTCAAGTTCAGTATACGCTACAAGGCCCCTGGCGGCCTGAGGGTCACCGGGGTTTGGCATGACCCACGAGAACCCATGGCCTCCAAAAGTACGTTCAAAACACTTTTAAAATCTTTTGGGTAATACAATATTCAAGTTACGTTTAGTAAGAGTAAGAGTTTTACGGCACCCGCAACACAGTAAGGTCATATTATAAGTGCCGAAGATTAGGTGTTACAAGAGAGTAACCAAAGACTACAAAGACGGTGGAGAGGTAAGGACGGCAGACGTTTGATAGGACAGATTTAGGAGCAAACCACACCAGAGCACCTGCCAACCATGTATCTCAAGTTATACTGTTTATAAGGGTTTGGATTTTTTGTTTGTTTTGTTTTTGTTCAGTTTTGTTTTAGTTTTCAAAATTGACTACCTTCAACACAGTCCTCATCCAGAACTTTCTCAAATAATTAAATGTGTCCGATCTAAAATTGGACACCGTTGACTGTTCTGAAATGGACATCCGTGATTATAGTTCTCCTCTTATTTCTCTGCTTGGATAGGCCTACTCTTTAACTCGCCGAGGAAAAAAAATGAGAGGAGGCCTTATATCAATGTTGAAAATTAGTGGATACTCCGTTTTGAGAAAACAGGCGTAAACGTTTAGACTAGGCTTTAATAAGGAACTATCATTTGATCGCCTTTCAAAATAAGTTGTCAAATATCACTCACAAAACTGGTTTCAGATTTATATTTTTCTGCCCCTTTGCTTCAGGGAGTGCTTTCAAATAAAACTGGGTCAATCAATTAATTGGCTCCGTGGGGGAATATGGGGTGGGGGGGTGGGGGGGGTGGGTAGAATTACGGAGCATACAATTTCTTGGCTTCTTCGACACTATTGAGATATTTGGCTACATCCAAATGAATGCAGATACCCCGTAGTTTGCTCTGAACATGTATATTATAGCTCCTTTTTTATCACCGGCCACTTATAATACATATAAATCACTTTGTAACGCAAGAGAAGTATAAATATTCAGAGGGCATTGAAATCACCCTTAATCCTCTAAGATTCAAGCTGGTTTCAAACCCGTAGACAACCAGATTACGAGATTAAATGAAATAATAATTATTGATAGTTTTCCTTGCATTTGTAAATGTGTTTATCCCCCTATCCTCCCCCCTTCAATCTCTCTCTCTCTCTCTCTCTCTCTCTCTCTCTCTCTCTCTCTCTCTCTCTCTCTCTCTCTCTCTCTCCTACTTATCTATCTATCTATCTATCTATCTATCTATCTATCTATATATCTATCTATCTATCTATCTATCTATCTATCTATCTATCTATCTATATTTTACTCGTTGCTGTTCACAACCCTCTTCGATTTCTTCAGAAATCAACACAACAACACCCTCAGACCAACCAGAGGCAGTTCTGGAGAGCCAATTTGAAACAACGCCGAGATCTGATGAAATCGTCACTTTGTTTCTGAAAACGAGCCTTGCAGGGTAAAATAATATACTTGCTTCCTAGGATGAAGAATGAACACAGTTCCTTCTGTTTGCCCCCCCCCCCCCCACACACACACACATACACACTCACACACGCGCGCGCAACGCTTGTTTCATGAGTAGACTGTTGTCTATTTCCTTACAAACGAAAGTGATGGAGGAATATGGAAGAACATGATGCAGGGCGTGCAAAGGGGGCGAGTGGTAGACAGGGGAAGGGGAAGGAAGTAAGATTATGTGTCTGCAACAAAGTGGTCCGTAACTCGTTGTGCTAATCACATTTTCTTTCTTTTTTTTTCCTTTTCTTTTTTCTTATCATTATGCATCGACGTCTAAGGTGTAGCGGTTAGGCACTTCTCTGTGCACGCAGGAGATCCGAGTTCGATTCACGAGGACGGAGAAATTTTTATTGAGTATCTCGGCCTTTTTGCTGAGATAGTGTGCCCCTCTCAGCCAAGGTTGGTCCTGACAGGCAGGGTCGGAAACCCGCCTCGTAAATGGTCTAAACTGTGTCGATGGGGGAGTAAAACGGCTACATGTAAAGAACAATTATAATCATTATGCTAATGGCAATAAATGTCAGATCAAGATATTTTTTAAATTCCTACAAAAGTACAAAGCCTTTTGTATTTTTAAAGGGTGGGGTTTCAAGCACACGACAAGAACATCTGGCTGTAAATGAAGATGAATCAGAAACAGCCGATCTTGCTTTGACTTCAGCCTCGAATATCGACGTGTTTTAAGAGGACAACTAACTGCCCTTGTCTCTTAGAATTATTTTTCTGTATTTTCACATGGTTCGCAACGCCGAAATTCTATTTAATTTCTTTTAAAAAGTACTTGTACCTTTGAAGACAATCTGTACATTATCCCACTAAACGTTGTTGCCTGGTACGCCATAATCTCTCTAGTCGGCATTTTGCTGATGACAGTGATAGTGAATAATATTGTCAGAAACGGGAATATCTTTACACAAATTAATAATAATCAAAAGCATTTATGCTGCACATTTCCAGTTTCTTAAAAATATGCTCAAAGCTCATTACAATATTCATAAAGATGCCACATTTTGAAATTGACGGATAGGTGTGCTTGTAAAACATAGCATTATGTATATGCACAATTGTAGAAACAAGCGATCTCTCGCAGTCTAGAGGTAGGGTGTTCGCCTCTCATTCAATAGGTCCCGGGTTCGAAATTTAACAGCGACGAAAAATTTTGTTCTCTAAAATTGTCTCCTTTCACCTCCTTTCCTGCTCTCTAACCAATTACGTGAGAAAATTGGTCACTCGGTGAGCCTGGTGGAGGGGTCACAAAAGCATCTCTTCTGTTTTTATCCAGGTATAACCTCAGACTTCAGAACGCCTTATCTGGAGACAAGGTTCAGACGTCCGACTTCGCGAACAAACCGTTCCTCGTTTCACCAGCTGGAGATATTGTTTACGAGGCAGGAGAGGACACCGTTTTTCAAGTAAGACAAAAACCTCGTACCTATTTAAGTGCTCCACCTTAATTTATTGCAAATGCCTGAAATAAGAGAAACACTTAATTTAAACGCTTTTTCTCTTTAAAACATTTTTTTCCTTTTTATTTTGACAGCTAGCCTTTAAAAAAAAATCCATTTCTTCGTTTTTCTATTTACCCATACGCCAGCTCATATGCCCTTTTTCTGTTGGTTTATACCTTATTATGTGTCTCAGTATATGTAGCTGACTGTTTAAGTGTTTACATGTTTGTTTATCAGCCTGTCTATGTATCGTCTACTGCTCAAACATTCTTGACGAAAAAATATTCTTTAGAATAAAATGTTGTTATGTACATGAATTTGCTCATTTAGGCCCTTTAAAATTGATTTTAAAAACCTCAAAAAAAACCTAGCGATCGGGGCAAATGCTTTCCCTCATGGCTTGTTTATTTAAACGTAGGTGCTTAGCACCCTCAGCGAAACTATTTAGATACTTTAGGAGTAGAATTTCGACCCTGCATGTCAGGACAAATCCTGGCTGAGACTGCATGAGAAGGATTTAACAACGTTTCCGCAGAAAGACCGAGATACTCGGTAGAAATGTTCCTCTCACGGGAATCGAACTCAGGTCTTCTTCTGAGTGCGACGTCCACGAGTCTGACCGCTGCAACACAGACGCCGGCTGTTTCTGCACGCTACGGATCTCCCATCCCTGTAAACGCTTTAAGGTTGTTAACTCTACAAAGATTAACATAAATGGAATCATCTCTCTGACCAGCTGCAGACCCAAGTCAATGTTTAGGCACATTTAAAACCATAACATAATACACAAATCAGAAACACAATTTTTAAAGTTCACTATAAGCATGTTGCAGCCGATCTTTTTTTTTTTAAAAGTTTCAGACTAAGAAAACATAATGAGTGAAGAATTTGCTTGAACAACGAAGTTGTCCGCCTTTTTGAAAGTGTCCTCAAAACATTTCGTCCCCTAGCCTTGTAGAAGATGCGCCCCCTAAGAGTTAAAAGAGGTAACCACCATATATAGCGTCCATCTCTGATAACAATGGGTCAGTGGGAAAAGCTTGGTAAGTTCATGAATGCCACCTTGGGAGTACCAAATTAACTGTTTGTTGTTAATCACCCCCCCCCCCCCCCTTCCATCCCCATTTGAAATGAGACAAACCCGCCAGATATAAAACATCACCCCCCCCCCCAATCCCCTCCGTATTTCTATCTGCTTGACCTAGTGAGCAAAATCTTGGATCGCTATGAGGGGTTGGGGGGGGGGGGGGGGTCACAGTGGGCTCGTCGTTATATTATTGTCTCGCCGACGGTGATAGTTGTGATGCATGAAAAGGCCGAGGTTATACAATACGCTAAGAGTAGGCTTCGGCCGCCAACCAGGCAAAATTAAAAATTCCTACCAAACTGAAAATATAATGTGTCCGTGTTGTGAGCGCCGTAAAACATAAAATAAAGAAGTTACACTCCGTTTTCCACTCTTACTTTAGTTCTGGTTTAGCTGTACGACCTTGCTACCAGATTTGGCCACACAAGTGTCAAAGACTAGAGACTAACATAGAAAGAAAAGAAGGAGGAGACATAATGATGATAGATGTTTGATGGCAAAGAAGGAACACACTACACCTTAGCACCCGCCAATCACCCACCATGTAACCCCAAACTGCAAAGCATAACCAAACTCTCAACAGGTGACGCATCCTCCGTATTTGCCCTTTACTTCGTATCGCTACGGCAGTGAACCACATCTCAACGTGGACTTGAGTCTGGTGAATTTGCAGACGGGAGTGTTCCAGGCAGGGTACCAAACGAAACCTGGTTTCCTTACTGTCAGAAGAGGGTATGTTGATCCCAAGTTATGTTATTATTAACTCATTGCAGACACTCCTTCTGTTTATTTACACGCGTGAAGACACGATGTTACGGAATGCTAAAAGAAGCATAACTTCCGTATTCATGCGTAGTTTTCAATTCTGTTTCCTTTATATAGTGCTTGAAAGGACAGGTAACAATAATGTATACTATAGTATAAGCAAACTTGTGTTTCTTGTCTGTGTGACGGTTCGAAATATTCCTCAGCTTTGATTTTGATCTGCTGCAGTCGGACATATGTGTCCGCTTCGTCCTTAATGAGTTAATGCGTTTTTTTAAAATGTAGAAGTTTTTATACGACCCAATGACCCAATAGTTTAGAATACTCCAGGGCTGAGAGGGATAAAACATCTCAGCAGAAAGACCCAAATACTCGATAAAAATTATCTACCCATTCAGGAATCAAACTAACCGCTACACTACGTATGCCGTTACGCACGCAAGCACGAAACCATTTATTAGACGTTTTAAACCATTTATTAGACGTTTTCACACACACACACACACGCACACACACACACACACACACACACACACACACACACACACACACCCACCCACTCACCCACTCACCCACACACACACACACACACACACACACACACACACACACACACACACACACACACACACACATATATATATATATATATGTGTGTGTGTGTGTATGTATAATATATGCTGCTGCTGCTGCTGATGATGATGATGATGATGCATCATCCTCATCATCATCACTCTATCCCAGGTCCCCCCCCCCAAAAAAAACAAACAAACAACCTACGTCTGTTTTCTATAGTTCAAAAACTTCAAATAAATGTTTTCCTGCAATGCCTCTTTTGGCGATCACACATATGATTATAACAATATAGACTATACAAAACAGGAATAGGGTTTGAGGGAAAAGCAGCATGCTAAATAAAAATGAAACATTTCATATTATATTATAAGCTTTTATGAAAGTAATTTTTTTTTGGATTGAATATATTTTTTTAGTGCTTTGTTCATCGTTCCACTATGAAGGTGGAAGTGAGGATGACGATAAGGATGGTCCTGGTCGCTTCCTTTGAACCATTTTTCACAAAAGTTGATGATGATGATTACGATGATGATGATGATGATGATGATGATGATGATGATGATGATGATGATGATGAACATGATGATGATGATGATGATGAAATGATCGAATTCTAGGATACCCACGCTGTACAATCAGACTGATACCATGACGCTGAAGACATCGGAGTTCCCAACTAGTGGCTTGATGAGGTTTTACTTACTTACCCAGACTCAGAACCCTGAGGACCTCTTGACTGAAGCGCAGGTATTCTGGACAGACTGAAGATATAATACTATACACCTTGTTTATGTCAAAGGGACAATACCGTGTTGGGGAAATGGGCGACAGATCATTTTCTTGTATTTATCTCCCTGCTCTCTAAATCTGTTTATCACCCAAATACGCCCCCCCCCCCCCCCAACCCTTTCTCTGTCTCTCTCTCTCTCTCTCTCTCTCTCTCTCTCTCTCTCTCTCTCTCTCTGTCTCTCTCTCTCTCTCTCTCTCTCTCTCTCTCTCTCTCTATATATATATATATATATATATATATATGTGGATAATTTTGTATTTTATATATTATATGTATATTATACACAGTCAAACTTCGTTGCCAAAAGGAACGCCTTTATAAACATAGTATCCACCATCCCCCAATTGTCTGAGTTGTACGCTCCTTATTGAACTAATTAAATGTAACTTGACCGTGCTGTACTACCAGCGAATTGGCGGCCAGAGGTATACCCTACATAATATGGCGCATGGCTCCTACACAGTGGCTGCTTAACCATATTTATTATCCGTACGCCCTTGGGTCATTTTGTACCCCCGAGGTTGTATTTTTCACATTTTAGAATACTTCTAGTGTGAAGATCTCTTTGAAACTTTCAGTATTTCTTTAAAAAATCATTTTGACTGTCTGCTATGCAAAGCGTACGGATTGGATTAACCAGTAAATTTCGTCTTTGGAAAGTTGTGGCACAGGGTTTCCCACGTCGAATGGACACGACAGTAAAACACGACGTTCGTATAGGGTTAAGAATCTCTTTCCCATACACGTCTTTTGCTAGCTCTGCCTATTTCTAGCGCTTACAGATTTTCTCACTGTTTATTCTTTATAAAAATTGGAATGAAATTTTAAAGTCGCATCGAAAAAAACCGTCAAAGGAACTGTGCCAACTTGGCCTTCCGGAAAAAAAAAAATATTTGGCGTTGCCAGGCATCGGCCCAATGACCTAATATGCGGGCGCGTGCTCGTAAGTCTTTTGTATTTTAAGGACTCACGCTCCAATCTACAGGGTACGTTTAAGGCGGTGCGAGAATTGATGACTACAATATATTATGTTAGGTCAAAGAGTCTACATAACAAGAGGGGCCACTTTTCTCTTTGAGCCAATAAAAAAGCGCACCTTTTGCGAACAGAGTTATCCTACTTGAGTTTAAAAAAACGAAGTGAAACTAGCAAGTTTTTGAATGAATTTCGGAAGAACTCTTTTTTAAAATGGTTACGCTGACAGAAAACCTCTTCCGGAGGAAAGGGTGATTGTTTTCTTCGTTTAATTCGACTTTAGAATGAAAGGCAAGAGGTCATTAAAATTTAAAAAAAAACTAAAACTCCGCACTGAACGAACCCGAACTGCTGATGAACAGCAGTCGATCTGCTCACGCAAGGAGGTGCTATTCCTATTCTTCTTCTGGAAAAACGAAAGAGAGCTTCAAAACAGACTTGCAGCGCCATCTGAAGCAAAGAGCGAACTTCCTGCGGACACTTTTTTGGCTGAGTGGCCCATCTTGTTATTTACTATCTTTGGTTAGGTTTTAAAAAAAAGCACGATTCTGCAGGACCCTTAACACGTACAGCCTAGCTTCTGATGCTAGCTTCTTTCAATTTTGAAGTTACTTAATGTTTATCTAGTATCTAGAGCTGTACATGTAATAAAAATAGTTTAGTTGCTACTTTTTAGCTGTTCGTGGCAATCGCGCAAGAAAGATCAAGATGAGGCAAGACAAGCAACACTTTGTCTCTAGTCTCTACCAGTCTACTCGTAGTCAAGATGGAAATCAGTGGTATGCCTTTATACCACCAGCCCCCTTGTAACGCCAACTGTATGGTGGACCCAGTGTAGGAGGTATAACGAGTTTTGACTGTATATATATATATATATATATATATATATAATATGAAATTAATAATAAATAAATTACACTTTTATTTACTCTCCTTATTTTTAAATTCTATTTTCTTCTCATGTTCTGAAAACTTGCATCTACCATTTCTATTGCTGGTACTACAACATAATAATATAGCTACCCATGTCCTAGCATCTTCTTCCATCGTCTTTCCTACTCCTACTATTATCTCATTTATCAGCTCTCTCAATTCCAATGAGGTTAATGATACTACCATAGCAGATAGTCTAGATCATATGGGACACATTTTTAGTTGTCTGATCAATAATAATCTAATATCGTATGTCTAAAAAAACCGGATCCATTTAAAGGGCAATAAGTCAGTTGACTTTGAACCAATTTCAACAAACTTCGAAGAAATAAAATTCAACCAAGGGGACGTTACATTTGACAGTATGAAACAAATAATAATTTCCATTTTCGATAAATATCAATTTTTTTTTTCAATTTCAACCAAAATTGAGCGAAAAGCAAAATTTTGCACTTTCTTAAAAATTAACCATATTGTTCATTTTTCAAATAGCAATTGTTTGTGCAAAGAAGAACAAATTCATACAAAATTAATATTGCCAAATAAACCCAGGAAGGTAATGGCTAAATCTCCAATAAAAAAAACCCCCAAGGTAATAACTGAAAAGGTTCGCGTTGTTGAGAATGTGGTGACCATTCATGAGTAAACTTTCGGCTCAAAAGGCATTCCCTAAACCTTTCTTACAACTACACAAAGAAAACTCTTGACGTGTGGGGTGTGGACCCATCTTACTGGAACCATGCTTATACAGCATTAACACTCCCTCCCCAAACTTCTACAAACCTTTTTCAACACAGTGAGATTATATTATGTCTTTTTCTAGTGTCTTTCGATATTCTCAGGTGGGCGTTAAGAAAATTCTGCGACCTTCCTCTCAAGGCGGCCCATTCCCATCTGGATATATCTCAATTTTGGACAGTGAGCAGTTGGCTGGTCGCACCACCGAGGAGGAAGACACCACGTTCTGTAGGTGAGTTTGGCTCTGGGACTTTGAGTTTGGGTTTTTGTATAAGCCTTTTCAGTACTGGACAAACGATGACGCAGTCGCGACACAATGGTGATGGCGACAACTACATGTATAATGATGATGAGTATGAAGATCGACGACGATGATGTTGATGATGATGATGATGATGATGATGATGATGATGATGATGATGATGATGATGATTTTTTTCGTTTCCTTAATGGGCCTGACGGACTTCACGAAGAAATCTTCGAGCGAGAACGAGGCCCTTTTTTGGCTCCATTGTCAATATGCTTAGCGGCACCTCCACTCGTCCAAATAACTCCATTCGAATTGCCATTGTTTCTGGACATTCAAACATATGTTTGATATCCTCCTTTTCATGGCCACATCTTCGGCAACATGGGCTGAGCTCTTCATTTACAAAGTTCTTATAACATCTTAAACTCCAATGATGGTCCGACTGCAGTCTCGCTAGCTCAACCTGGTCCTAGCGACATGTGATAGATTTTTGTTCCCGCTTCTAGGAATACCCAGAATACACATCTTCCAGGTGCTGGTACTTAGTTCTACATGGTGGGTCTCTGATTTCTCTCTTGATTATTGGAAAGACTCCTCTGTTTGTCGTTGGTCGTCTGTCTCCTTCGATCTCTCTGGCTTCATTAGCAGCTTGGTCTGCTGCCTCATTTCCTTCTATTCCAACATGGCTTGGAATCCACTGAATTTCACTCTGGCTTCACTGAACTTGCGGCGCAAATCATTCATGTCCGAGCTGTTGCCCAGCAGCCCCTTGCAGAGGGACTGACTGTCAGTCAAGATCAGCACATTGGTCCTACTGTGGCAATTGTCGGCAATCTATTGTGCAGCAGACATCATTGCCTCGCATTCCTCGTCATAAGATGATGTAAGAAATGCACCTTTAGTTTTAATAATTTCTGTTCGTGGTGGTTCATCATTCATATCACTACTGCTGCTGCTCCACCTTCGCGGTATCCTGCGACTGCCGATCCATTGGTGAAAATTGTCACATCCGCACCAACCTCTTTGATCACATCCTCAGCTGCTTCACGTGCCTTTACAGGATCATCACCTTTTCCTTTTACTCCTCTCAGTTCTGTCCGAATTTCGATTTCGCCATTGGTCTTCCATGGACAAGCTCTCACCAGATTGATTTGCCATCGATTCTCTGTTTCAGGGGGGAGGTGGTCTGCTAGATCGGTGCCCATCCGAAACCAACCTTTCCTGCGGTTTTTAGGCTTGATCAAGGGCTTTCTTTCTAAGATGGTTGTCTGGTAATCTCTTAGCCATCTCTACAGACTTGAGGCATGTTCTTTTTGTATAGGCTGTGTAGTGCTCAGTTCTGGTCTCATAGCGCAGCGCTTCTGTTGGTGTTGTTTTCAGCTGACCTGATACAAGTCGGAGGGCTTTGTTTTGTATTCTGTCCAGGGCCTTTGCACTAGTCTCACTCAGCCAAGGCTGCCACGCTGGAGCAGCATAATCCAACTTGCTTTTCACAAACATCTGATATATTTTCTTGAGCGACTCCTTACCCCAGCCCCATTTTGAGTTGCTGACAGCACCGATAACCTTCATTTTAGAAGTTGAACTTTTGGACACCTCCTCAATGTGCTTGTTGAAGGTTAGCTGTCTATCCAGGTAGACGCCCAGCAGACGTGGAGTGAGGTTGAATGGTATCTTTTTCCCTTCAATCTGAATTATTGGTTGCCACGTTGCCTCCTTCCCCCATGTTGAGAAGAAGCACACTTCACTCTTGGTTGCATTCAAGGTAAGCTTCCATTCATTGCTCCATTTCACAACCATATCCACAATCAACTGTGTCGCTTCATTTGCCTTTGCTCTCTTTGCGTGACTGGCCAGTATTGTGCAGTCATCAGCGAACATTGAGTAGATCAGCTTGGCGGAGGTTAGTTGTTGTGAGTCAGGGTTTTGGAGAGATTCTGCCAGGTTGTTTATGAAGAATATAAACAGCAGCAGTGATAGTACAGCTCCTTGGGGAAGCCCTTGCTTGAAATTCTGGCTCTTGCCAGATGATGATGATGATGATGATGATGATTTTGATGATGATTTTTTAAGTTTCCATTCCTTAATGGGCCTGGCGGACCCCACGAAGAAATCTTCGAGCGAGGGCGAGGCTCTTTTTCGGCTCTATTGTCAATATGCTTAGCGGCACCTCCACTCGTCCAAATAACTCCATTCAAATTGCCATTGTTCCTGGACATTCAAACATATGTTTGACATCTGATGATGATGATGATGATGATGATGATGATGATGATGATGATGATGATGATGATGATGATGATGATGATGATGATGCATCGTTATGCAGTAATGGCGGCGACAAAAAAGAAGAGGTTGCTAGCCACTATCAGCTCCTTTTACAATTTTCTCCACAGAGTCGGCGGTTTCAGATGCCAAATCTTTTGCTATGCTGTGGGTACAGGGCTAGCCAACATCTCCCTTGGACGGCTGGACGAAGACGGAGAGATAATGCAAGAGAAGATTGGGTAAGTGACAGTAATATGAACGTTGAGAATAAATAAAAAGAACCAATAGGCCAGTACTTATATTAATTCTCGTCACGAAATTTGGGGTGAAATTGAAAGTATAAAATGAGATGGTACTGATATCAATACCGTTGCGCGCAGAAAGTGTAGGTCTATTTCCGTATGGGCGAAAACTTTTATCGCGAATCTCGGACTTTTTGCTGAGACGTTGTATCACTCTTAGCCCTAGTTCGCTTTGGGGGGCAGGGTCGAAGCCCGCTTCCTAAATGACCTAAAATGTATCGTGTCTATAGGAGCGTAAGAAGCCTGCTTTAAAAGAAACACCCCCCACCCCGAAAAAACAACTAAAAAACAAAAGAGCAAAAAAAAAAAAGGAGAAAAATTAAAGAAAAATTAGTAACAATCTAACTGATAACAAAGGTCACATAACACACATAATACACACTACCATGCGCACCGTTCATTCTGGTCTCCTCGGCAGAGAGTTGTTTGTTTAAGCATGAGTTGCTGTGTCTTATTCAAAGATGTACCACCCCACTGATCACTCAGCATCCCACTGTGCCAGTGACCACCCTTGTGATTGTTTGCTAGCATACGTTCACTAATCATTCAATCACTAGTAGAGCGTCTACGCTGCTCTTGTATTGTAAACAACGTCCCCCTATGAGAAACTTAGCAAGGCCATCAAAAAGTTTTGTTCTGAGAAAACGACAATAGGTGTGATAAAGCCCCTTCGGTTAGATTTCGTGTCTTATGAACATTTTTGTGTACGGTATTTGTGGAATAAACCCTGCAGGACACAGATATCACCTTAGAGATAGAACTCTTGACCCTGTAGATAGAGCAGACCACAAAAAAGAAAGCAGCCCCAGGTTGGCTCTGACACTGACAGACGGGCAGGGTCGAAGCAATCCACAGCCAACATCTTCTAAATTGTGCCAATGGGGGAATAACACTTCTACACTTTCACGACATATTATCGGTTACTACATCTAAGAGTGGTGTTAATATTCCAACCATAGTCCGCCATAGCAATGAAACGAACAAAAAACCCAACAAAAAACAACCCAAAAAAACCCAAACCCAACAACCCCAAAACCCCTACC